GCTTGTGCTTCATCTGTAAAAGTTTTCTTTTCACGATATTTTACCAATTCAGGTTTATAGTCACGATATAATGACGTAATTCAGCCAAGAATCTTCTAACTTGTGCAACTTCAATTACATCTAAATAGCCATTAACTCCAGTAAAGATAGTTGCTACTTGTTCTTCTACAGCTAAAGGTGCAGCTTGAGGCTGTTTAAGCAACTCACGTAAACGTTGTCCTCTAGCTAATTGGTTTTGAGTAGCTTTATCAAGATCAGAAGCAAATTGTGAAAAAGCTTCTAATTCTGCAAATTGAGCTAACTCTAGTTTCAATTTACCTGCAACTTGTTTCATTGCTTTAATCTGCGCTGCAGATCCTACACGAGATACTGAAATACCAACATTAATAGCAGGACGAATACCAGCATTAAATAAATCAGCTGATAAGAAAATTTGTCCGTCTGTAATAGAAATTACATTTGTTGGGATATAAGCAGAGACGTCACCAGCTTGAGTTTCAACAATAGGCAAAGCAGTCATACTACCTTCACCTAATTGATTACTTAATTTGGCAGCTCTTTCTAATAGACGAGAATGTAAGTAGAAAACGTCTCCAGGATAAGCTTCGCGTCCAGGTGGGCGTCTTAGAAGTAGAGACATTTGACGATAAGCTTGAGCTTGTTTAGACAAATCATCATATACTACTAATGTATGACGTCCTTTATACATAAAGTATTCAGCAATTGTCGCACCAGTATAAGGAGCAAGGTATTGCAAAGTAGCAGGTGAGTTAGCTGTTTCTGCTACAATTACAGTATATTCCATTGCACCACGTTCTTCGAAGGTGTTTACAACTTGAGCTACAGAAGAAGCCTTTTGTCCAATAGCTACATAGACACAGACAACATTTTGTCCTTTTTGATTTAGAATTGTATCTGTAGCTACTGCTGTTTTCCCAGTTTGACGGTCTCCAATGATCAATTCTCGTTGACCACGACCAATTGGAATCATGGCATCAATAGCAATAAGTCCTGTTTGCATTGGTTCATAAACAGAACGTCTAGAGATAATACCAGGAGCAGGAGATTCAATTAAACGATATTCAGAAGCTGGGATATCTCCTTTGCCATCAATTGGACGACCAAGTGCATTAACTACACGTCCTAGATAGCCGTCACTAACAGGAATTTGAGCGATTTTTCCAGTTGCTTTAACTGAACTACCTTCTTGGATACTCAATCCTTCTCCCATAAGTACAGCACCAACATTATCTGCCTCTAGGTTTAGAGCAATTCCAACTGTACCATCTTCAAATTCTAGTAGCTCCCCTGCCATGACTTTGTCTAGGCCATAAATACGAGCAATACCATCTCCTACTTGAAGAACAGTACCTATGTTAACAACTTTAACTTCTTGATTATATTGCTCAATCTGTTTGCGGATAATACTACTGATTTCATCAGGTCGAATATTTACCATGGACGTGGTGTGTAATCTTGAAAGTATAGCACCTATATATGTTCTTTTTTCTACTCAGCAGAATTTTCCATAGCTTTAAATAAGCCAATATGATAATCAATCATTCTAGCATGTAAATCCATATTCAAACGACTATTAATTACTTCTAAAGCTCTTTCAACTGCTAATCGAGAAACTTGTTGTCGTACTTGTACAATGGCTTTTTGTTCTTCAAAACGAATAGTCATATTTTTAGAATCTTCTAAACGTTTAGAATCCTCATCAGCAGCCTTGATTAATTCTTCTTTTTCTCTCTCAATTTGCAATATGCTATTAACACGGATTTCTTCTGCTTTTTCTTTTGCTTGTTCTAAACGAGCTCGAGCTTGATTTAGCTTTTCAGTCGCTTCTTGGTAACGTTCTTCTGCATCGCGAATGGTGCTTAATATAGTTTCTTTGCGATTATTTAAGATATTAGTTAATGAAGTAGATTGCTAATCTATGCTAATGCATTAGCTTAACTATCTCTTCCCAAACCGGACATGAATCTTCTCGATTCACCCGGCTCTCTCGTTCACCCATGTGTAATTAAAGCCCGATAAGAAACATGTATATATTCTTTTTCTTGCAACTTATAGAAAAGGCAAAAAAGACATGTTTTTTGTATCCTAAATGACTTATACACAAATGTTTGAACGTACCTTTCATTGCAAATGCGATTTCAAGGTTCTCCTGACCATTTGTTTTTGATCAGCACGGTTGTTTTCTTCGAATCACTATAAAAAATCTTAAGGTTGTCTATTTAGTATATTGTTATCAAGTGTATTTCTTGAATATATTCTGGAAGATTCTGACTGATGAATTCATTGAATGAATTCCCTTATAATCTCGATACGAGTGTTCTGTACCGAAAAAATCTCCAACAAGGTTAAGATTTGTAATTATCTTATTGAGCAAAGAAAGCTCCAGCAATACTTAGACTTCAAGCAATAGAGCCTTAACCTAGTAGATTTTTCCTCATTATAGAAAGTTAATAGTGTCTTTAACTTAATATTCAACGAAATGCTTTTGTCCATACAAAGATTCTTCTTTGTGAGTCATTCGTGAGGATCATACACTTTATAGTCAGAGTGTAGTTGGATTTTTTTCCAACCATGTCATTCAAATATTCATCCCGCACACACTCCCTTACCAAAGTAAACTAATACACCGATCACTACTGCTAAATTGATCAAATTAGTATCTAGCAAATTGGTATTGAGGCTTAGCCCCTCATTTGCCAGAGCCCAAGAATCCAACGAAGCAATCAAGTCAATTGCGCTGTTCATACCCTGTTTCTCCAATAAGGTCCATTTTCTACATAATGCTACTTATATGAGGTTTAACTAAAATGTCAGGAAATTTATATTACCTCATGATTTAAGTTCTTGGGTCTAGTACATCTTCTTATACGTATTATGTAATAGCAAATATTAGAATGAGTTTTTCAACTAGATTAATCTCCTGAATATCAGAAAAATATGTATAAAACAATATACCAAATGATGCCGATATGCATTATTTCTCATTTGTAATTTAGAGCATTCTTGTTTGAACATAGATTCTCTTATGATCAAAATGAAAAGCATACAATCGGCATCTTTCCCCCAAATAACTTGTTTTTCCCTATGCCTGTCTACTTAAAGTCAAAAATCAACTTCAGTCTTTCTATGAAACATAGTCATAGCAAAACCTATGTGCTAGACAAGCTAAAAGCTTTGTGTATAGAACTATACAAAAGGATTTGCAAATAGAAGAGCTAAAGCTACTACTAGTCCATAGATAGTCAAAGCTTCCATGAAAGCCAAACTAAGTAACAAAGTGCCTCGGATCTTACCTTCGGCTTCTGGTTGTCTTGCAATACCTTCTACAGCTTGTCCAGCAGCAGTTCCTTGTCCAATACCAGGACCAATGGAAGCTAGACCTACAGCCAACCCAGCAGCGATCACGGAAGCAGCAGAGATCAAAGGGTTCATTACTTTTCTCCTTCAAATAAGACCAAGGAGGCTGTGTATTCTACAAGTCTCCCCGTGTATGCCTAAATGTACAAACATTTTAGCAATTAGTAACTCATGATGTCTCTTGGGTGTGATAGTAGCACCAAAAAGCAATGTCAATAAACGTTTATCTTATCATACCATGTAGAACACAGTTCTACCAATTAAAGAAAAACATTTATAACTTAAACTGTCTCTAAAAAATACATAATACATATCATATAATGTATTTCTTTGCAGCTTTTGATAACAGCAACTTGAGTATTTTCTAAGATAATTAGACAATTCTCATACAGAGACAGCTAAGCTTAGAATAGGAGAATCCTATTCTAATTCTTACAAAAAATCAACTAATTATCTATATCTTTTTGTTGAAAAGATATACACAGAAGATCGTTTCTCTTGATAAAACATGATGATAATAATCATCATGAACTAAAGAAAATAGAAATAATACATTTATTTATGTGCTTGCTGTAACAGGGAAATACAAATTGTTTTTTTGATTTAGTTTCAAAAAAAATAAAGATGAACTAATTTTAGTTTCATGTTCCCTATTTTACAAATTTCTTCTAAAAGGTATTATAATCTATGTTTGCAAGTTGTCAACAATAAGAAGTTATATGTATATATTCCTTCTTCTAAGGAGATTGCAATGTTGTCAAATCCAACTTTCACTCTTTATATCAATAATTTTTTTGTATATCAGATAGAATAAATTCTATTCGAACCACAACAAATATGGGAGTAGACTACTCCCATATTTGTTTTACCAACTTGATTTAGTTACACCAGGTAATAAACAAGCATGTGCCATTTCACGCAATACATGTCTTGACAAGCCAAAGTCACGATAAACTGCTTTTGGTCTTCCTGTTACAAAACAACGACGAGTAATTCTATTAGGCGCACTATTTCGTGGCAAAGATTGCAATTCTCTATGCAATTGACATTTTTCATCAATTGATGAAACTGTCTTAATTTGTTCTTTTAATTCCTGACGACGCTCATAGTATTTAGATGCTAATCTTTCACGTTTCTTATCCCTTTCAATCATACTTTTTTTAGCCATATTGTTTATAAAAAATAAAAATAACGGAAGAAGCTTATATAGTGAATTTCAGGCTATCCCACCTCTTGAGAGGTGGGATAGCCTAAAAAACTTACTATTTTCTTAATATCTCAAAAATAGATTTTTACAAAATAGTAAGCAGTTATGATGTTGACATATCCTTAACCGAATTTACCTGAGGTAGATGCAATTAGGAAAGCAGCATAGGTAAATACATAACCTACAGAGAAATGAGCTAATCCTACTAATCTAGCTTGCACAATAGAAAGAGCTACTGGTTTATCTTTCCAACGCACAAGATTAGCTAATGGAGTACGTTCATGAGCCCAAGCTAATGTCTCGATCAATTCTTGCCAATAACCACGCCAAGAGATCAAGAACATGAAACCTGTAGCCCAAACAAGGTGTCCAAATAAGAACATCCAAGCCCATACAGACAAACTGTTCATACCGAATGGGTTGTATCCATTAATTAACTGAGATGAGTTTAACCATAGATAATCTCTAAGCCAGCCCATTAAGTAAGTAGAAGATTCATTAAATTGCGCTGCATTACCTTGCCATAAAGCTAAGTGTTTCCAATGCCAGTAGAAGGTTACCCATCCAATAGTATTTAACATCCAGAAAACAGCTAGATAAACAGCATCATAAGCAGAAATATCGCAAGTTCCACCTCTACCTGGACCGTCACAAGGGAAGCTGAATCCAAATTCCTTTTTGTCAGGCATTAATTTAGATCCACGAGCATCTAAAGCACCTTTCACAAGAATCAAGGTTGTTGTATGCAAACCTAGAGCAATTGCATGGTGTACTAAGAAATCCCCTGGGCCAATAGTCAAGAATAAAGAATTACTATTGTTATTAATAGCATCTAACCACCCTGGTAACCATAGACTTTTTCCTGCAGTAATAGTAATGCTAGAACTGGAAGAAAGTAATACATCAAATCCATATAAAGCCTTACCATGAGTAGATTGAATCCACTGAGCAAAAACAGGTTCAATTAGGATTTGTTTTTCTGGAGTACCAAAAGCCAGTACAACATCATTATGTACGTATAGACCAAGTGTATGGAAGCCCAAGAATAAGCTAGCCCAACTTAGGTGAGAAATAATAGCTTCTTTGTGTTCCAACATTCTAGCCAATACATTTCCTTTGTTTTGCTCTGGATTGTAATCTCTGATAAAGAAAATTGCACCATGAGCAAAAGCTCCTGTCATGATGAAGCCAGCAATATACTGATGGTGAGTATAAAGTGCTGCTTGAGTAGTAAAATCTTGAGCTATGAATGCATAAGAAGGTAAGGAATAGCTGTGCTGAGCTACCAAAGAAGTGATAACACCTAAACACGCTAATGCTAATCCTAATTGGAAATGAAGAGAATTATTCACTGTGTCAAATAGGCCTTGGTGACCGCCGCCCATACGACCGCTTGGAGCAATATGTGCTTCCATAATCTCTTTCATACTATGTCCAATTCCAAAGTTGGTACGATACATATGTCCAGCAACGATGAATATTACAGCAATTGCTAGATGGTGATGAGCTATATCGCTTAACCAAAGACTTTGTGTCTGTGGATGAAAACCGCCTAAGAAAGTTAAGATAGCAGTACCAGCTCCTTCTGAAGTACCAAAGATATGGCTGCTAGAATCTGGATTTTGTGCATAAACACCCCATTGGCCAGCAAAGAAAGGTGCTAAACCTTGTGGATGTGGAGCAGTAGTTAAGAAATTATCCCATCCTACATGCTGTCCTCTAGATTCAGGAATAGCTACGTGTACGATATGTCCAGCCCAAGCCAAAGAACTGGTTCCAAATAAACCAGCTAAATGGTGGTTTAAACGAGACTCAGCATTTTTGAACCAAGAAACACTAGGTTTCCACTTAGGTTGTAGATGTAACCATCCACCTACTAAAGAAACAGCAGCTAATCCTAATAGGAAAAGTGCTCCTGTGTAAAGATCTTGGTTAGAACGTAGACCTTGAGTATACCACCATTGATATACACCGGAATAGGAAATATTTACAGGACCAGAAGCGCCTCCTCGAGTATAAGCTTCTACTGCTGGTTGTCCAAAATGAGGATCCCAAATTGCATGTGCGATAGGACGAACATGCAAAGGATCTTGAGACCACGCTTCAAAATTGCCCTGCCATGCTACGTGAAACAAATTCCCAGAGGTCCACAAGAAGATAATTGCTAACTGACCAAAATGAGAAGCAAAAATCTTCTGATAAAGCCGTTCTTCGGTGATATCATCATGACTTTCGAAGTCGTGTGCAGTAGCAATTCCAAACCAAATACGGCGAGTGGTTGGGTCTTGGGATAGGCCCTGGCTAAATTTTGGAAATCTTGATGCCATAATGCTTTAAAACCCTCCTAGCCATTATCCTACTGAAATAATTCTTGCTAGGAAGAATGCCCATGTTGTGGCAATCCCACCCAGAAGGTAATGAGCTACTCCTACAGCACGCCCTTGAGTAATACTAAGAGCTCGAGGCTGGATAGCAGGAGCAACTTTAAGCTTATTATGAGCCCATAGAATGGATTCAATTAGTTCTTGCCAATAACCACGGCCACTAAACAAGAACATCAAGCTAAATGCCCATACGAAGTGAGCACCTAAGAAAACTAAACCATATGCAGATAAAGCAGATCCATAAGATTGAATTACTTGAGATGCTTGTGCCCATAAGAAATCACGCAACCATCCATTAATGGTAGTTGCACTTTGAGCAAAGTTCCCTCCAGTAATATGAGATACTCCTTGAGCATTTACAGTTCCCCATACATCTGATTGCATCTTCCAACTAAAATGGAAAATTACTACAGAAATAGAGTTATACATCCAGAATAGACCCAAGAATACATGGTCCCAAGCAGAAACTTGGCAAGTACCACCACGTCCTGGACCATCACAAGGGAAGCGGAAGCCTAAATTAGCTTTATCTGGGATTAGTCGAGAACTACGAGCAAATAATACACCCTTCAAAAGAATCAAAACAGTAACGTGAATAGTAAATGCATGAATATGGTGCACTAGGAAATCAGCTGTTCCTAATGGAATAGGAGACATTGCTACTTTCCCACCTACTGCTACTAATTCACTACCACCCCAAGTGATACTGCTAGCGGCAGCTGCATTAGGTGCTGTGAAACCAGGTGCTGCAGCGTTAGTATTTTGAACCCATTGAGCAAACACAGGCTGAAGTTGAATAGCTGTGTCAGAGAACATATCTTGAGGACGACCTAAGGCACTCATAGTATCGTTATGAATATACAAACCAAAACTATGGAATCCTAGGAAGATACATACCCAGTTAAGATGAGAAATAATTGCATCTCTATGACGTAGAACACGATCTAATAGATTGTTATACTGAGTAGTTGGATCGTAATCTCTTACCAAATAGATAGCTGCATGAGCACCAGCCCCTACAACGCAGAATCCACCAATCCACATGTGGTGTGTGAATAAGGATAACTGAGTACCATAATCAGTTGCTAAATATGGGTAAGGAGGCATAGCATACATATGATGTGCTATGATAATTGTTAAAGATCCAAAAGTAGCTAAGTTTAATGCTAATTGAGCATGCCAAGAAGTGGTCAAAATTTCATAAAGTCCTTTGTGACCTTCACCAGTCATAGGCCCTTTGTGAGCTTCTAACATTTCTTTCATGCTATGACCAATTCCCCAGTTAGTTCTATACATATGTCCTGCTACTAGGAAAAGGACTGCAATTGCTACGTGGTGGTGAACTGTATCAGTTAACCATAAACCTCCTGTAACTGGATTTAGACCGCCACGGAAAGTTAAGAAATCAGAATACTCTGCCCAGTTTAAGGTAAAGAAAGGAGTTACACCTTTCGCAAAGCTAGGATATAACTGAGCTAATAAGTCTCTGTTAAATATAAATTCGTGAGGCAAAGGAATTTCTTTAGGGTCAACTCCTGCATCTAACAATTGGTTGATAGGCAAAGATACATGAATTTGGTGTCCAGCCCAACCCAAAGATCCTAAGCCTATTAGACCGCCTAAATGGTGGTTCATCATAGATTCTGCATCTTGGAACCAAGCCAATTTAGGTGCAGCTTTATGATAATGGAACCAACCAGCGATAAACATTAAGCCTGCCATTAATAAACCACCAATTGCAGTGGAATATAACTCTAGTTCAGTAGTGATTCCAGAAGAACGCCACATTTGGAATAAACCAGAGGTAATTTGAACTCCCTGGAATCCACCACCTACGTCGCCGTTCAAAATTTCTTGACCTACAATTGGCCAAACAACTTGAGCACTAGGTTTGATGTGGGTTGGATCACTTAACCATGCTTCATAATTGGAAAAGCGTGCACCATGAAAATACATTCCGCTTAACCAAATGAATATGACAGCTAATTGACCAAAGTGTGCACTAAAAACCTTACGAGAAATTTCTTCTAGATCACTAGTGTGGCTATCAAAATCGTGAACATCAGCATGCAGGTTCCAAATCCAAGTGGTTGTAGTAGGACCTTTTGCTAACGCACGAGAGAAATGACCTGGCTTAGCCCATTTTTCAAAAGAGGTTTTTACAGGATCATTGTCTACCACAATCTTGACTTCTGGTTCCGGTGAACGAATAGTCATTGAGATTCTCCTCTCTTCAGACGAGACAAAGGAAACACCTGCCCAAAATCATGAATCAGCTTCTGAGAGGGTAATATTTTAGAATTGCTACCCACTTTATTAAGTCTGTAACTAGAACAACTATGATACAGAAGTGACCCAGGACAGACTCCTAAATATATTATGACACACATTTAAGGTGCTTAATGGACCAATACATAAATAAGTGAAAGTTAGGAATTTAACCTGTATATTTACTAGGCAAGTAATAAAAAATGCGAAGTGAAGCAAATAATGGAAACTTTGCTATATTTTATATATTTTTATTTTATATCAAACATAAAGGACATTCTGATCAATTTGTTCGCCATACAACATACAAAAAGAGAAAATATAGCAAACTACAACCGTGCGCAGGATTCCTGCGCACAGTTGTTATATATGCAGCTTGCCTCTAAAACAAGATTGTTTAGCCAACGAAAGGAGCTTCAACAGATGCTAAGTCTAGAGGGAAGTTGTGAGCGTTACGCTCGTGCATAACTTCCATACCTAGGTTAGCACGGTTGATGATATCAGCCCAAGTGTTGATTACACGACCTTGGCTATCAACTACGGATTGGTTGAAGTTGAAACCGTTTAGGTTGAATGCCATAGTACTGATACCTAAAGCAGTAAACCAAATACCTACTACAGGCCAAGCAGCCAAGAAGAAGTGTAGAGAACGAGAGTTGTTGAAACTAGCATATTGGAAGATTAGACGTCCAAAGTAGCCGTGAGCTGCAACAATGTTGTAAGTTTCTACTTCTTGACCAAACTTGTAACCAGCGTTAGCAGATTCGTTTTCGGTGGTTTCACGGATCAAGCTGGAGGTAACCAAGGAACCATGCATTGCACTGAATAGAGAGCCGCCGAAAACACCAGCCACACCTAGCATATGGAATGGGTGCATAAGGATGTTGTGCTCAGCTTGGAATACGATCATGAAGTTGAAAGTACCAGAGATACCTAAAGGCATACCGTCAGAGAAACTTCCTTGTCCGATTGGGTAGATTAGGAATACTGCGGTAGCAGCTGCAACAGGAGCAGAGTATGCAACAGCGATCCAAGGACGCATACCTAGACGGAAGCTAAGTTCCCATTCACGACCCATGTAAGAAGCTACACCTAAAAGGAAGTGAAGAACGATTAGTTGGTAAGGACCACCATTGTATAACCATTCATCAACGGAAGCAGCTTCCCAGATAGGGTAGAAGTGCATACCGATTGCTGCAGAAGTAGGAACGATAGCACCAGAAATGATGTTGTTTCCGTATAGAAGAGAACCAGAAACAGGCTCACGGATACCATCGATATCTACTGGAGGAGCTGCGATGAAACCAATGATGAATACAGAAGTTGCAGTTAGAAGAAGAGGTACCATCAATACGCCGAACCATCCGATGTAAAGACGGTTTTCGGTGCTGGTAATAAAGTCAGAGAAACGACCCATAGGCTTGCGCTTTCGCGTCTTTCTAAAGTAGCAGTCATGGTAATTATTGGTTAATAAAGTAATAAAATATGACTCAAGCTGCTTATAAGCTTGTTAGTATATATTATTACACAGAGAGTGTCATATGTCAACCTGATTTTTTATTACAACTCTTTTTATCGATGGTATCTCTATACAATGTTCGAAAGAACTTCTTATAATAAAAAGGATTGCAAAATCAAATCCCTATGAAATATAGACATCATTGATGTCTATGTGTTTATTTGTATAAAAGAATTCGAAAAAACACTTTGGTTTTTTCCAATTTACAGTTACTATAGTATCAGAGTTATGGATAGCAGCAAGGAAACTAGCTGCTTCTACCTATAAATTTTTGAAGAAAAATCAGACCATGCAAAAAAGAGATGCTTGTAAATGGATACGAAGATGGGTGGGGCTATCAATCTCAATCATAGTTATGGCTTTGCCAATGGCTTTGCCATTAAATTCGGAAGCATTTCCGATATTTGCACAGCAAAACTATGAAAGTCCTCGAGAAGCGACTGGACGCATTGTATGTGCTAATTGCCATTTGGCAAAAAACCGGTGGATATCGAAGTGCCACAAGCAGTTCTTCCCAATACTGTTTTTGAAGCAGTAGTTAAGATTCCGTATGATACCCAAATTAAACAGGTATTAGCCAATGGTAAAAAAGGGAATATCAATGTAGGCGCTGTGGTAATCTTACCGGAAGGCTTTGAATTAGCACCTGAAGATCGTATTCCTCCAGAAATGAAAGAAAAGATTAATAATCTTTACTTCCAAACTTACAGACCCGAGCAGAAAAATATTTTGGTAGTAGGTCCTGTACCTGGAAATAAATATAGTGAAATGGTATTTCCTATATTATCTCCCGATCCAGCTACTAACAAAGAAGCGTCTTTCTTAAAATATCCAATCTATTTAGGTGGGAATAGAGGACGTGGACAACTTTATCCTGATGGTAGCAAGAGTAATAATACAGTTTTTAGTGCTTCTGCTTCAGGAACAATTAAGAAAGTTGTTCGTACTAATATCAAAAAAGGTGGTTACGATATAACCATTATTACAGCAGACGGTAAAGAAGTAATTGACGTTATTCCTCCAGGACCAGAATTAATTGTTTCCGAAGGAGAATCCGTTAAAGTTGATCAACCATTGACTAATAATCCAAACGTAGGTGGTTTTGGACAAGCAGAAACCTCCATAGTACTGCAAGATCCATTAAGAATTCAAGGACTTCTTGTATTCTTTGCATCTGTAATTTTGGCACAGATTTTCCTAGTTCTGAAGAAAAAACAATTTGAAAAAGTACAACTTGCTGAGATGAATTTCTAAGTAAATAAAGTATTGATGTGGAAAACCACAGGAAGCGCTCGATTATCTTTTCTATAGATCGTATGAGTCCTAATCAATGAGCTTAGATCTAAAGCCTCTCCATTTACAACGTGTAATGATGGAGTGCTTAAATATTGAGAGTTTTGAACACTGTTATTTCATTCCTGTTTTGGCACAAACAGCAGAATACTGGGGAGATGCTCAAGTAGCATCTACCTGTAATCTTATGTCACAACAGGTAAAAGAATATTTTGATCATGCAGCTCATGTTCATTTCTATCTAGCAAAACAGCATAGACATTTGAATCAGAATTTCTCTATGCATGATCAGTATTATGGTTTGCTAAATACCATAAAAGTAGAAAAAAGACAAAAAGATCAAAAAATCTCTCAGTATCAAAGTGATATCTTCGATTCTTGTAATGAAACCACTAGAAGCTTGAAATCAATTCATGGAACACATTTTTTTCTAAATAAATACGAAAAAGAAAAAAAAATATATTGAAATCTTTAGAAGAAATAGACAACAACCTTTGGGAAATTTCAAAAAAAATAGAAGAGAATCTAGAAAGAAAAATATGCATCATAATATTCAAAAACTTTCTCCTCAATGCCTAGAAACTTTCTAGATCATGATGATTTTTTTCTACTTTTAAAAATTTTACGACATCGTAAAATTTGGAAATCAACTAGATGGTATCCATTAGTGTCTAAATTAACATCTAATGAAAAAATGTTTCATATATCACGTCTATTTATGCAAATGTCTCAATCGGAGAAAGATATTAGTAGATTATTGATGGAATTAATGCACCAATAAATTTATTGACTATACTGTTTGCTTTGAAATGCAAATATCAAAAGAAATTCCCAAAGGAAAGATTTTCCCTTTGGGGAATTTCTTGAAGAAGTCCCTTTTATTGAGTAGACACAAGATCAATACATTTCATTTAAGCTCGTTACTCAATTCCCTGGTTAGGATTCTACTCTTAATTATAGGGAAGAACCTAAACCAACATAAGAGCCGTAAAAGAAAAGGCCCACTAGAGTGGTGACAGCAATGCCTGCTACTGTCCCTATAAACCACAACGGAATTCTTCCTGTAGTTCCAACGTTAGACATCTGTTCTACTCCCTTCACATCTGCATTGGAGGTCTTGGCTAAAGATCATTACAGCCACAAGCAACAAAGTAACTAAATACGAATTTTCCAAATGAGGCAATAACCAACTATTATTACTAGTTAAAGAAGTAGCTAGAAAAGAGTACTGCAAGTACAAAAATTAGTAGCAGTCCCCAAAATAAACTAGTACGGTTTAACTCGACGTTTTGCTTGTTCGGGTTTGGTTGTGTCATAATTGTGCGCTTTATAAAGAGCTTACCTTTGAATGAACTGCATTGCTGAGATAGAGCCCAAGAAAAAAACTGTAGGCACAGCTAGCCCATGAACAGCCAGCCATCTAACCGTAAAGATGGGATAAGTTCTATCGATAGTCATTTAATATCTCCTATAGCGATCTGGTAAATTCGTCTAGTTGCTCTAGAGAGTTGAAACGTCCAGTAATTAAAGGAACTTCTTGACGACTCTCTGTAAAGTATTCGTTAGGACGAGGACTTCCGAATACGTCATAAGCAAGACCTGTGCTAACGAACAACCAACCCGCTATAAATAGCGAAGGGATTGTAATGCTATGGATAACCCAGTAACGAATACTGGTAATAATATCTGCAAAGGGGCGCTCTCCCGTATTCCCAGACATGGTTAGCTCCGTGTGTAAAGATAAGACAAAGTATAAAGTTAATAAAGAATGTGAGCTGTTTAGGCTCTTTTCTATTTTGTCTTATCAGGTGGTATTATACTAAGAGTATTTGCAAAACATGCTAAGTAAGTATAACCAAGATACCTTTCGCACAGCAAGGCACTTTGTCCCATTGTCAGTTAATAGTATTTTACAAAAAATACGGTGAGAATATACAGTCACACATAATTCGATAAAAAAAAATATCAACTGACTTGCGACAATTATTAAAAAGAAAAAACTATCTTCTTTTTTTTATAGAATAGGAAAAAGTATGCAAAGTATCTTTCTAGTACAAAAAAATATCAATAGATGATTTTTGTAGAAAAAAATCAATTAGTTAATTGAATTCCATACATTCATACACCAAAGATCTCCTCATTCCTTCCAATCCAGGAGAGGAGATCTCAAAACTAACACTTTATTTTTAGTAAACAAGGGTTCCTGAATTAGAGTTCCTTAGACGATTTCGTCTTGTTCAATGTACAAGAAGAAAGAAGCAAAAGCTACAGCTGGAAATACTAAACCTACCAAAGGAACCAAAATAGAAGGTAGATAGGAAGCGGTCATGGATGTGTTCCCTCATGTAATATATACCTTGTGAGATAATTTATCACAAAGTAAATTCTTGAATATCTAAGATATGAATCTATGTCTAATTTACTAAATAAATTAGTGGACCTAAGAGTCTTCTCTGTATCTCATAACTATTGTTAAAAAATAAGTTCTCAAGTCATACTAGTATTTATATGACTTTTGATAAGAGATACCATCTATATCGAATCGAATTGAGAATAGAAAAACAATCGTTCTATAAAATAAACGCTTTCTGCACTGATAACGTCTAACAGACGATTATATAACAAGTTTATGTAATACACAATCTATTCTGTATTACTATACAAAAAATATATCATTAACATACTATCAACATGTTATTGGGATTTCTTTTGTATTTTTACAAGGAGCAGATTTATAAAGTTCAAACAATTCTCCTAACACACCTTTCAAAATGGCTCTAGGAACAATTAAATCTAATAATCCATGATCTAATAATGATTCAGCTACTTGAAACCCGTCAGGTACTTCCTGTCGTAAAGTTTGTTCAATAACACGTTTGCCAGCAAAAGCAATATATGCTTTCGGTTCAGCAATAATGATATCACCTAACATACCAAAACTAGCAGTAACACCTCCTGTAGTTGGATAAGTAAGAATAGATATATAAAGTAACTTATGTTGAATTTGATGAATTTGTAAAACAGAAGCAATTTTTGCCATTTGCATTAAACTTAGTGTACCTTCTTGCATACGTGCTCCTCCAGAAGCACATACAATAACAAGTGGTAATTTATGTTGCGTAGCATGTTCAATTAATCGGGTAAGTTTTTCGCCAACTACTGATCCCATACTGCCTCCCATAAATTGGAAATCCATCACTCCTAATGCAATAGGAGTACCATTCAGTTCTCCTACACCAGTTTGAACAGCATCTGTCAATCCTGTACGTATTTGATTTTCTTCAATCCGATCTCTATATGATTGTTGATCGAAAAAATCTAATACATCACAAGGAAGCATATCTTCGTCCATAGGTTCCCAAGTACCAGGATCAATCAGGAGTTCAATTCTTTCTGTACTATTCATCTCTAAATGATAGCCACATTCTTCACAAATACGTTGATTTTGTTTTAAAAATCGTACATATAGCATGCTTTCACAATTATCACATTGTGTCCATAATCCTTCGCTAGGATCAGATTCTGGATATTTTGGCTTTGGCGTAGTAAGTAGTTTAAGCCTACGTTTTTCTTCAAACCAATCAACTA